ATAAATTAGCCTAGTATAAATATGGTGAGAAATTATAAGCCTAAAAAGGATACTAAGCTTCTAGAAAACAAAATTAGTGAATTTCTTTTAATGATTGAAAATGAAAATTTCAGTGTGAGAGCTGCTGCCAGAGCTGTTGACATACCTTACTTAACTTTACACTTTCCCTAAATGAAGTTAAAATATCCAGCAAAAGTAACCCATGTGGGAACTCTCTTATATTTCAGAAGAACATGAGAATGAGTTGGCTGATTGCCTAAAATGTGTGGCACAATGCAAAGATTTTTGAAATTTTAAAGTGTTAATCGTTCTTCTTGCTTTTAAATAAATCATTTAATTAGCTGCTTAAACATATCTTTTTGGTTTATTTGTTTGATCTTGATGTCTTATTTGTTAATTACTATTATATAATTATTTTTAAGCAGCCCCTTTACAACAAAAACTGGTGATCAGTAATTACCCCAGAAGTGATCAGGAATTACCCCAGAAATGATCAAGACCAGGGGTAATTCCTGATCACTAAATATTTAAAATCTTTTAAATTCTAATTAGATTTTCAAACAAAAGAAGGTGGCATTGGACTCATCTCATATCAAACTTCCAGTAAATATTAAAATTCTATTTCGAATAGTTTTTTCACAAAATAGATGTTTGCGTTTTTTGATCAGGAATTACCCCAGGTCACCCTACAACTTTAGGACCAACTCAAAAGGTATTTCTATTATTTAGGAAAGAAAAAAAATTCAAGGTTAAAATCCATTTAGCATTTTGGCAATTATAGTTTGCGTGACAGATCACAATACCGAAACATCCTCTACATTAGGAGTACACAACATTTTTGAGTGAAGGGCCACTTTTGAGTAAGGAAGGGCAACATGCATATTTAGTCATGTTGGCAGCAAATATAATTTTTAAATAAACATTAATGTTCGTAAGGACTAAATTTTTTATCAAAAAGATGAGTAGCATATTTGTTGAAAATTAAATACCTTTAATAATTATAAATTCATTCAAAAACGAAAATAAGTAAATACTTATTCTAAACAAAAATTTTCACTTTTATCAATAATATTATCAACTAATTATACATAAATATTAGGGGGGAGAAAATATAAATTCTAACAAAAAAAACTGTAATACTCACATAAAGTGTAAAATAATACATACATATTTTAATTACTTAAAGAAATTTATAGGGTTCAAACAAAAATTAAAACAAAACCATTATAGTACAAATTAAGATTCTCAATATTTATTTGGTATTGTATCAGTTCTTAGGCAAAAAAAAATTTGCGGCGTTCTATCATTTATCATCCCTATAAGTTTGCCTTATTAGTTTAGAAGTTACAAACTGTGCTTATAGAAATAAATGCATATCAATCACTGTTTGTACGAACATGGTTCAGATATGAAATATATTTAATTGTAAAGTTTAGCTAAATTGATTTCAATTTTTAAAAACTAGTCCCCCCTAGGGCTAATAGCACTTACATCAGGACCGTCCCAAGTAAAGTCATTTTTTTTCTCTTCTAAACCTAAATCTCTGTCACGTCCCATCAACTCATCTAGAAGTTGTTTAGCTGAAAACAGCGCCATTCAAATATTTATTAAAAACTTAACTATTTACGAAATCAAGAATGAATGAAGGACATATCATTCCAATCTACTCATATTCGAACAGAAAACAATAAAGCGAATTATTTATGCAGCCAGCCGCGTTGTAGCCACCGTAGTAATCATAATCTAACCCCAAAATAACTTAATATATTTAAAACTTAAATATTCGGTAAAAAAATGTATCAGTGATTTTTAAAAATTAAAATGATGTTTACAAAAGTAAGATTAATTGTTTTTCAAAAATTTAATAGTTCTGAAGTTAAATTAAGCGAACGCATTGCGGAGTGAAAAGGAGTAAAGTTGTGCTAGCAGTGACGGCCACGCGGATATTGCGTTGCCTCTATTGGAGTGATTTCAATGAAGCCGTGTTGGTGGATTTGTTATTATATTTACTGAAAATATTGAACATAAAAGATGGACAAAACTCCAGAAGATCACGGACCTCCAGATTCTTGGGAAAATATTTCGGATAATATTATTCAGAATGGTGGAGAGGAAGGAGATTTATCAAAACCTTTTTTGGGACTAAACGTGGACGCACCGCCATTCGTTCCATCATTTGCAACTTTAGCTGCTGCTCAAGCACAATCTCCTACAGAAAGTGATGAAAAAAGTCCAATAAGTGAAACACAGCCAAATCCTGGTACACATAATTCTGTTGTTTTGAAACTAGTTTTTATTTTACAGCTTAAAAAAATTACTTAATATGCTTGTTCATAATATTGGTCATAATATCATACGAGTAGGTAATTTTTCAATGTAGTGAAAATGAATCTGAACCTACTTTATAGTGTTAAAATTGCTTGATTCAATTAATAGATGTTTCCTAGTTATGTATATTGGACAAAGATTTCACACATTCCTCCTCATTTTAAAGTATTTTGTACATGAACCATAAAGTGTGCACTTGTGAAAACCCTTTGTACAATATTGTTTTACGGTTCACTTTATCATTTAAATTAGCATATATTACTAGTACTGCTTACTTTTTTTTTCTTAACATCAATCTATTTTTTTCCTAATTACTCTGTTGTCTCTTTGACCTAGAAGTGTTTTTTGTTATTAATGCAACTTAAAGATCTTTCTCCTTCCATATTTAAAATATTTAGTTCAATCCAAACTTTTTTATATCTTTAAACATTTAACAAATATTCAAACATTGACCTAATAAAAATAGTAAATGATCCTGGTGCTAGCAACTCATATAATATATAAACAAAGACTGAAATAAATTTAAATCTCATTTTCTGATGCTAGTTATTAGTGAGTGAGCCTATGAAACTGGATGTGATGGTGTAGACATAGAAAAAGGATTTGTATATCTATTGTACAGTCTGAAGGAGATTCACTTTCGGAGGTATTAATATCTCAGTTATAAGGCAAATGCTCGGAATATATTTAGTGCCTGTTTATAAATATTATTCACTGGATAATTTATCCCTTATTTTTTCAAAATAAAATGTACATTAAATAAGATTGCCTATTGCTCAGTCATAAAACATTAGTGAAATGAAATTTTTTACTAGTTCAAAAAATTTCATATATCCACCAGGTGCTAAAAGAAAGGTTTGTCAGTATTTAATATTCTTAAGCATTACCACCGATTTCTAAACTTAAATTATCAGTTTCCACCAGTAGTGTCTTATATTAAACCTCAATGTAGTTTCATTTATTGTACTACACTGAAGCCTCCCTGTTGAATTAACAAACCTCACTATCATACATGGACTTAGAAGAGCCCTTCAAGATTTATGAGTGTGTCATGTTTTAGACTTAACCATAAAATATTTAATTTTAATACGAAGAAAAAAAACCCGGTGTGCAAATATTTATTGTCATTTTATTTTAATTTAAAAAATTAAATTGGCAATTGTGATGAAAAGGTAGAATTAAGGTAATAAATTGACACTTTACACTTTTTATATTGAAATAAATAAACAAAAATATATTAAGAAGCGAAAGTAACTCACTATCTTACAATAACTATCAGGGATCTGTCTAGGTTTTTCTGAGAGGCACCTGTTTTGTTAAAATTTAGACATAATTTGTGAAAATTAAAAATTACATTGAAAATCAACAGAAAAATATAAAATTATCGTTTCTTACTGGATACAAAAATAAAATTTTAAGAAAAAGTATTTTGTGAAATTACCGTTTTTCCTACAGTTGAATTTGTGAAGGTACCGCAAAGCGGTAGTAAATTAGACCTGGACAGACCCCCGACTATATTCAAAGTTTTGTTAGACGTTACTATTATTTATAAAGTGAACTAAAAAATAGCTTTTAAATAAAGAAATATTTTAATTTAAAGTGTTATATTTTCTGGCGAGTATGCCTGAAACCTCCTGCACCCCTCTACGGTTGCGAAGGATTATTTACATGACTGATCACCCTTGTTTGTTAATCCTTTGTCTAAATTGATATTCGTTATCAAGATCTAAATTTATTCCATGTAACAAGATCAAGTAAAACTTTTGTAACTTAATCACCTGTCTTACCTTGTATATTGATTGAGGAAATAAATCAAATTCGTCTAATTATTGAGTATTTTTTTAAACCCTTCATAGGTTGGCTAGAATTAAAAGAGAAAAACTATGTAATTTTTTGTATTATAGATTTGTTTGAGATTTACCAGTCTATTAAAAAAAAATTCTTGTATGTTTTGTGGAAGGAGAATTTTTTCATGTCCTCAGAAAAATTTCTATTGTTTCTGCTATTTCTGTGAACTTCATAAAAATGTATATTAAAGCAGTACTGAAACAAAAAAAACTGAACTAGTGAAAATATTTTTTTTTATTAAACATTGCAGTATAATATGTGATCATTTTAAGAATATTAATGTTCTAAAAATTTTCAAAGGATCACAACTTTGTTGATGTTCCCAATAAAACACATTTTGACGTTTTTAGCAACCTCTGTAAGCTACATTGAACATAGTTCCAAAAAAAGGCGTTGTGGAATTTTTAAAAATAATTTTGACAATTAAATACAAAAAATGCTTAGAAAAATGAAAATGTCATAGTGCATTCCTATACAACTGAGGAGGGGGAGGGGAAAAGGTCAGGACATGGAACCTGTCTTCTCCCCAGATGGTGTGTTTGAGTGTTGCTAACTCTAATTTTTTTTTCATCATCCAATCTTGTATTGTATTTGAGCTAAGCAATTTAGTACTTAAAAATTATGTTTATGCTAAATTAGTATAATATCATCTAAAACAATAGACCAAATGTATTTTTTTGTTTATCTTTTATTTTTAAATATGCAGATGTCAAAACTATATTGAGTTAAACTATTTAAAGGATTAATTCTCATCAAGTTTATGAAAGTTATTTTAAATTCTGTGACCACAAAATAAATGAAGTTTATCAGCTCTCTAAATATTAATATATGATTGAAACTATCATATATTTTTTATCGAAAGGTCATTCTGAAGTTAAGAGTTAATCAAATTTTTGGAATTAAATTTTAGTTTATTGGTTATGATAAAGTTTTTAAAAAAGTGCTTCCTAAGGCAGACTATAAATTGTAACTTTTTTATTGATAGTTGTTTAGTTTTGTAAATTATAACTTCTTAGTTGGTTTTTCTTCTTGCTTAATTTTTCTTTTCAAAGAATATTCTGCACTAAAGTTGTCTTGATTTTGTTGTCTTTTTTTATATTGTTATTATAGTTATCATTATTCCCCCCCACCCCGATTTTGTATTTGAGCCACTTAAGAGCAGGCCTGTTTTTGCCATTATGTTTATCATATATTGATTTATAAATTTACCTAACTTTTGTACAAAATGAAGCATTTGTATATTAATATATTGTCAGTGGTCTGGTCTTATAACTTCATAGTAACATTTTTATCTTAATTTCTAGTGTATACATCATTGATATTCCTTTTTGTTGTGTCTCTGATTTTTGAAATCTTTATACATAAAAAAAAAATTTTTTAATTCAGACTTTGTGATGACTTTGGAAAGTTTTGATCGTTAAAGTGAACATTCAAAGTGAAATGTGTAAATTTTTCCTAATCTAATTTTATAAAGATAAATGACAAAAGATTGGTAAGATAAATCTTTATTTTATCACTACTGTCGAATTTTTAATATTCCAACTATTCTTTTTCAAAAAGAAATAAATTAGTATTTGATTCTTTTTTCACAAAATTCTGCTTATTTGAGTTTTTCGGTTATTTTCTGTATATAAATGTAGCTGTAATAAAGTTTACATTGATGACATTTATAAATAAGATTTAATTAATCGTTATTGGCTTATATTTAAAATCCTATTAGTTGGTCAATTTTTAACGGTGAGAAGATTTGCTTCACCTGGTTATGTAAAAACAATTACAATTTAGGGAATACCTTACCTCCCCAACCATTTTACAATCTCGGACTGGTCAACATTTGATAATTTTTCTGTGGCGCACTGAATGAGATGCGGACGTTGATTATTTGTATTTTAGATGATTGTGGTATTAGTGATGTCTCCTTCGAGAATAGCTTCTTGTCGATAGAAGTCACATAAACGGATAGAAATGCACCAAAGTAAATAAAATGAAAATTTAATGTTCCTTGGGCGGCCCGATGCAATTTGATTTGCTGACCCACGCTAGGGTTAGTGACCATTGTCTTATCACTTGACTAATGGCTTGTTACTTGCTGATATACATATATGTGCATAAATTTATATCTAATAATTCTTAATATTAGCTATAATATGGAAATATATTCCTATTAGTTATATATAATAAACCATTATATCTGTAAAAAACATGGGTTAATAGTATTTACCCAGTTTTTCCCATGGTTTTTGCTGGTAAAAACTGGTTTTACCTTGATAAAAACTCAACCCTGAGATTTAATTGTTTATAAATAATGTTAAAGTAATTTATGTTTTCTTTTTGTTTTAAATAGATCCACCACCACCTTTACCTATGGATATAGATCTTAAACCAGGAGGGGATGTTGATGGAGGGGGGAGTGATGATTCTCCAGCAGGTATAAAATTTACTTTTCTTTATGAAGCATTCTCATTGTATGTAATCAAATATGTGTGCGTGTAGAGCAATTAGGTGCAGTGTGAATCTCTCCTTAATATAAACTATTATTTCTAATTATTTTGCTTAATATCTAGATTGGGAAAATGTAGATATTGAAGATAAGGATCTAGATGATGAAAATATAGAAGCTGAAGAAGTTGAAGTAGTAACAAAAAGTAAAAAGAAAGTTTTAAAAGCAGAAGAAGAAGGTGTAAGAAAGGAGCATGTTAATGTTGTATTCATTGGTCATGTAGGTGAGTAATTTTTTTGGTTTTAGTTTTTATAAACTCATTACTACAATAGATAGTCAAATAGCAAAAAAAAAAAAAAAAAAAAAAANAAAAAAAAAAAAAAAAAAAAAAAAAAAAAAAAAAAAAAAAAAAAAAAAAAAAAAAAAACTTAGTCTTGCATTATATTAAGATTTGTCTATTTATTTTTTTGATTTAAACTTTTTTGTTTCTATGTAAAAATATTTATAAATATGATTCATTATTTTATAATGTGTTAGTATTGTACTGTAAGAAAAATATCTTGAGTAACTTATGTTTTAATGATTGGATTTTCACTAATTAAGAGTCGCTCTTGATTAATACTGATAATAATAATAATGTTATACTAATTAATTTGTGCTTATCTATAAGTTTTAAAATTCGGGTGCAAAACGTTCTTCTGAATAGACAGATTTGTATATTAGGATTTCAGAATGGGGGGGGGATCAAAATCTTGAAAATATAAACCCAATTGTTTAATCAGATGGCCGGTCAAAAGTTAAGTTCCCTTAATGTTTATTTCCTTTTTGCATATTTTACAATATCTTTCATGTGGGCAAAAGGAAATATGGCTCTCAATTATAAAACTTATTTATAAAGAATGAGAACATTTTGTATACTGATGTGTAAAATTTTTTATGTATAAAAAAAAATCCTACTAATAATTTATTGATTAGTTCTTTTCTTGTTTATTAATATTTTTATTTGTTTAATAAAAATATTATAATTAGCAGTTTAGTTGAACTAATTTGCATCAAAATTGACTTTTTTAAAAAAATTAAGGAAACAATATTTGACTGTGTTGACATCTGTCACCTAAAGAAATAAACACATGTATTAAGATAAAGATTACAAAATTGTGCTAAGCAAATCAGGTAGATATGCATAGTAATATACTGTCTACTCTCTGACATAATTTCTTTAAATATTCTTAAAATGACAAATCTCCTTTTTTTTTAACGAAGACTCCCATAATTTCTCCCTTTTATCTGTATATTCTTGAATTTATCTGCATTTTTTAAAGAAGTTTTAAAAAAAAATTGTAAGAAATATCTGCTAACAGCACATAAATGTATTTCTTTTCAGAATCATTTATTGTGGGTGTCAGTTTGACAATTAGAAAATGAACTGTTTAAAAAAAAAAAAAAAAATTAGTTCAAACATATCGCAGATGTTATGTTTGGTATCCTATGCATTCCGCTTTACGATGCAGAGCGCAAGAATATTTTCTCTAAAACTGAAAAAATTTGCTGTTCAGATTTCAGATGAAAAGCTTGAAAGTTTGCTTTTGATGAAAAGTAATTTCCTCTGATAACTGCTATAAACAGAACTTTTATGAACTTTTAGATTGTTTATGATCTAGAACTGTTATTAAAAAAATATGTTAGGAGTTAGGCAACTGAATTTAAAAAAAAGAGAGAGGGAGAGAGAAATTCTAAAAACCTATTCTATTCTTTATTTGGGAGTGTATAGTATGCTACAAGTAGTATAAATTTTTTTTAATTAAATTTTGTGTATATTTTGCATTATTTAAAATAATACAATTTAAAAATTGTTCTTAAGAAAATCTTATGTTGAATTTAATTATGCTGAAATTAAAATTAAATGAAGCTTAATATCTGTTTTTATTTTTTTTGTATAGATGCTGGTAAATCAACAATAGGAGGCCAAGTCCTGTGAGTATTAACCCTCAAAAATTTCAATTTGATTTTCATAAAAAGGAAGAAGAAATTAGATTTTTTTTGTAAATGATTTTAATTTTAGGTACTTAACTGGTATGGTTGATAAACGCACTCTAGAAAAATATGAGAGAGAAGCAAAAGAGAAAAATAGAGAATCTTGGTATCTTTCTTGGGCACTAGATACGAATCAGGTAATTATAATTAGATATCGTGTTTTAAACATAAAATCTGCTGTTAGATATGATGATAGTGTTTATCAAATTTCGTCTTTGTGATTCTTCAATATCTATATATACTCCAGGTGTTTTAAACACCTAGAACACCTGAATCAAGTGTGGGAAAAGATAACTAATTAAAAAAATAAATTAGCAGATTTTCTTAATAATGTAACATACTGTCGAGTATATACATAAAAAGGGAGAAAATTTCGCCACATGTTGATATGATCAGAGACTATTTTGATCAATCATATCTATATAAAAACTTAGGCTAACCTCTGGAAAAATGAAGCATAAACTTAAATAGCACTTATATAATGACTGGGAGGGTTTTTAATAATATTTTTAATGCCAAAACGAATTCTTAAACCTTTTTTCTTAGATGTATCTGTATTTTTTAAACTGGTGTAATAGTGCATTTTAATTGTCAAATTGATAATGTCCGAAGCATCTGGGATTTTTAATATATCTGGTAAATAATTTCTTTAGGAAAACTAGTAATTTGCATTTAAATAATTCTATTTATTAATGTTTCATTTAAATTGTTCATTTTCAGAGTAATAAACAAAAATTTTTATGCATGTATATTCTAGGAAGAAAGAGATAAAGGTAAAACTGTTGAAGTTGGCAGAGCCTACTTTGAAACTGAAAACAAACATTTCACTCTACTAGATGCTCCAGGGCACAGAAGTTTTGTACCAAACATGATTGGGGGTGCTTGTCAAGCGGACTTGGCTGTCTTAGTAAGATTGTTTTTCTGACTTTTGTGCAGTTTTTAATTTCTTTATTTATTTTTTGTCATCAAGGGTAAGGTTGTCTTTTAAAATCAATATTATACTAAACCAGCAGTTATCAATGTTAACTTTATATTCCTTAGTACAAGGTTGGGGTTGATAGGTGGCAAATTTCAAAATCTGGTTTAAACGGTTAAAAACTTATGTTGCATGGCAGAATGCTTGACAATGTTCTACAACAATCATCCAATTAAGTGAAAATGTTCTGTGGATTACGCATGCATTTTATCTACCAGCAAGCTTACATAATTTTGCTTAAAACTCTATTTAAAAATCTGGTGTGAAAAAGCATTTTTGAGTAGCAATGTATATAACTGTTACAATTATACTCAGTTATAAGTTTAATGTAATATTTATTAAAATTAAAAGCAATTTTTCACTAAATATTTTTTTTTCTCACCTTATTTTTTATTGTTCTGATATTTATAGCTAATCAAAAAATTTTGTTAGGCAGAAATATTGGGAGGGTAAAGTCATCTTTAACCTTTAATTATTTAAAACTAATGAAAATATACCCATATTAATGTTATGCCCGAATTTCAGCTAAAGTTACTTTGTAATTTATTATCTTTTAAGGCATCCTATTTTTAAAAAAAAAATTCTTACATTTTATTGGTGATAATTATTGCTGGTAATAGAGTCGATAAATGTGGATCATCATTAATTATATCGCCATTAATTATGCATATTTTTGTAGGAATCATAACTGGGTATAAGGTCTTCAAAGTGAACAAGCATCAAAACATTCTTATTCTATAAAAAATTAATTAACTTCAATTTCAATTGCCAATGTATAAATCCTCGTGGTTGCACTATTGTTGCAGATTTCCACATGGTTTTTAAGGTCTCGATTTGTTAATGTGCCATTATAACATAGCGCAAATTTCAACTCTTCATTTCAGTTGGTGATCGTTTCTTGATCTACTCGATTTGCTGTATTTTGTTGTGCTTTTTTAGCAGTTATTAAAATGGATTCGGTGACCGAGCGGTCAGTATGCCTGGCTGTGAAGCCTTGCGGGTTCGAATCCTGCTCAGGGCATAGATGTTTCTCCTTGTGTGTTGCTCTCCGTGGTATGAATATGCCCCTCCCCTGGTAGCTGTGAGAGTGTAGCATGGGTAATGTTGCTCGCCTCCATGACTTAGGTTCACAGGTAACCACTGAGTAACGTTTAATGACACTTCCGGCATCTTCCTAGGTGAAGAACGGAAGTTTAGTGCCTGCCGTTAAAAGAAATTAATGGATTTTTATTTGGTTTTTAAAATCTGAATTCTTTACCATATTATTCGTTCAGCAAACTTCGAATTCCAAATTTCGCTCTCAATTATTGACGATTCACACGCAATCCCATGTGGATTACGATTGCATTTTTGTCATATTGCTATGGATTTTCATACTTTCTTAATGCATAGTTTCATACATGAGAGATTCTGAATCAAGCATTTGAAGAATTTTTGATGTGCTTGATTTTTTTTTTTTTTGTCAATCCCATTTTCAGCAGTTTGGGTTTTTCACATTGTTTTTAAATTTCAATTTCATTTTTTTATTTAATAATTTCAATTTCATTTTTTTATATAATGATCCACGTTTTCCAAATAGGGCTTTTGAGTAACCTCTTTATGACCCACGTTAGTCATGAACATGATAATTTAATCTTAAATACACAATTTTTACTAAATGTTAAATTTTCTTGCACTTTTAAATTGATTGTGTGATTCTTCATTTTAATAATCCTTTGAGAGACTTAATAAAAAATATCAATTTCTTTTTACGCTCTAGTAAAATACCGGATTTCGTTTTTGTGATATCCAATTTTTTTCATATTATAATGAAATTGATAGTTAAAAAAGTGTCCAGAAAGGAGACCCTTCTGGCGAACGAACATCTGGATGTGGGGCTTAGCTCTATAATATGTATCTTGCATTCAAATCAAGCTACGTGTAGATATTTTTAAAATATCCCACTTGTTATAGAGTTATCTGTTTCTCCTCCCCCCCTTTTTTTAAAGCACGGTCAGGTACTTGCTCACATCCGTAATGATACATAATGTTACTTTGGCTTCACAGGCTGATCTTGAAACTTACCTCCACAAAATAAATGCTAGTTTAGAACATATTACTTTAAAAAATAATTTATTTTTTTTTACACTATAAAAAAATATATTTTCATTGTTCTACAGAAAGGGTGCTTCTTCTGCATTGTGCGGTGCATCTTTAGCATTATGGTGCTCAGGTAGTCAAGCATGTGATTCTACCTCTTATTTGTGGAATTCCATAATCATCAATTATTTATTCCAAAATTTTTTTTTCTCAGATCTGATCAGACAAAATCTCATTGACAAGTAATTTTTCACCTTTACCGACACCCTCTTTTTTTCTAAGTTCTCATTCACGCCCAATTATAACATTTTTTACTCAGATTTGTTGGAGAAAAACACGAGAAACAGAAAGTTTGAGTGGGAAAAAAAATTCCGTGATTATTTTGGTTAGAATCTAGTTATTTACCTGCCAACTTTTGCTTTTTCTTAGAAGGGTTTGTTCAGTAATATCATTATGTGAACTCAAAAAAATATTTTTATATTCGCGAGACTCATCTTGTGCGATTATCATGCATTCAAATATATTTTTAATTTATTTAAATAAAATGATGATTAAAATAATTTTAAGTTCAGTTTGTTAATCTTATAATGAAACAGAAATACCTTTGTTTTTTTTTAGTCACTTTTAATATAAATATGAAACTTTATAGAAGGTTTGGCAGCTATGTATATGCATGTCTATGTAAGTATTAATAATAGGAACTAATTAACAATCATTATATTAAAGTAGAAATTGTAGTTTTGAGCAGAAGAAACAAATTTTCATTTATCTTAATATTTTATTTTAGAGCTCTCATCTTTTTAAGGAATTGAAATCCTTACATAGTTCAATTATTTGTTTAGTTTTCTAATTATTGAAATGGAAATGTTTTATTCCTTGTTGTAAGTTTTAAACAGAAAACATATTAAAAAATAACATTTGAAGGCTTAAATTTTAAGATCAGAGCAAAGGATTCTAAGCTATTTGCATTTCTAACTTATAATTTTCAAAAATTTCTAGTAGTTATCATTTAAAAATGGAAGTTTAAATTTTGAATTATGTAACTTACAGGTAATTTCGGCTAGGAAAGGTGAATTTGAAACTGGATTTGAAAGAGGTGGACAAACAAGAGAGCATGCTATGTTAGCTAAAACTGCTGGCGTTAAACATCTAGTTATTCTTGTTAATAAGATGGATGATCCAACAGTAGAGTGGTCTGAAGAACGGTGAGTTTTTAAGTTTTAAAAGAAACTACTCTTTTTTCTTTTTTTTTTTTCCTTCTTTTTTTTGAGTATCTTTATTTTATCACTTGTGCTTTAAAAGAGAATAAAAACTGGTTTTATTTTTCCTCTTGGCTATAAATTTTATTTTAACACTTATTTTTTGGAAAAGAAGGAAAAAAACATATAAATGGTCTTTTGTAAAACTGAAGATCCTTTCATAAGTTAGGAAAAGAAATTTCTCTATACAATACTTCCCTATCTACTAGCTTAGAACAAACTGATTTGCTAAAGTCTTTTCAATTGAAATGTTTTCTCTTAAACGAAGCAATAATTTTGCATTTGTATCACTATTCAAAGTTAACAATTTATATGATTTTGTTGATTAGGAAATGTTGTGTTCTTAAAGCAAAAAAATCCCTTAAATAATGTTTTATTTGACTTCTTTTTTTCCCCCTCTTAGATACAATGAATGTAAAGATAAACTAATACCTTATCTAAAGAAATGTGGCTTCAATCCTAAAGTGGATGTTATTTTTATGCCTTGCTCTGGTTTAACTGGAGCCTTTTTAAAATATATTCCTGACGATAAAGTATGCCCATGGTTTCGGTGAGTATCTAGCGTTAACGCTAATTTGTATTAACTGATGTTCAATGCTTATGCTTATTTTAAAGCAAGTTTTTATTTTATTTATTTATTAATTTTTGGAATTGTGAATTTTATTTAATGTGGCTAGTGTTTTGTGGAACTAATGTTCTATATTTGTTATGTTATCTTAAATCATATAAAAGTAGTTTGGTATTTCCAAAAATTTGTAACTAATTTGTGAAAGTGAATAATTTGTAAGAATTTTTCAGTACCAACTCAACTTTTAGAATCATATTTTTTGTTGTAATTATTTATTTAAACCATTATTATATTACAAGTAATTTTTAACTAATAAAAAAACTAAAAAGAACTTCACTAATTTTTGTGATAGTTTAGAGTATTTTAGGAAATCAGGGTGGGTTTACAAATGCAGCAAAGTGAACTTATTGTCTAATTTTTGCCTTCATGTGATCTTCGAAAACTAAATATTTGAATTTTGCAATAAAGAAGTCTTCAACATATTTTTTAATAAAGATTATTTTTAGTTATTTTCAAATAAACGAATGCTTTATCAATCTACCATTAGATTTTACTTTTTTAAATGAATGAATTACAATTTATTCTTATGGAATTTATTTTTAGTTGAAAGTATTCTTTCGTATTTTTGTTACATACACTAAATAATCCTTTGATCTTACTATTTTTAAATTTGGGTGCAATGGGTCAATGGATAAAAGTATTATTGAGGTACCTTTTAATAAAACTTGAATCTATTGATTCCATTTTCATACATGTAAATCTTTAACATAGCCTTGAAAAATTGCTGAATTTGGTTATTGCTAGTAGCAACAGTAATTCTGGTAGTAAGTCCCTACTCCGTTAAAAAAACATTGTCCAGCATTATATCATTTCAAGAAAAAAATGAAGAAATAAAATGTTTGAGATAAAAAGTATTTAGGCAATTTATGGCAAATTGCAAACAGATGAATACATTATTTTTATTTAATAATTTTGTTAGGGAATTGGCTCCTAGTCAGTTTATAATTCTTCAATGTCTCTAAGTTTTGTTTTTCCTATAAAAAAAGGCTTTTTAAAAGTTGAAAAAACTTTTATAATTAAGCTTTTAATTGCTGGTGAATTCTATAGTCACTCCAAAATTAAAATTAGTATGAAGAAATTTCATTAATACAATGTATTAATCTAAATTCAATTGCTTTTATGTTTGTTTTTGTTATTATTAGATATTAAGGTACAATTCTTTCTTTAGTGGGCCATCATTCTTAGATTATATAGATTCATTGCCATCTCTAAACAGACCTACTGAAGGACCTTTTAGAATGCCAGTTGTGGACAAATATAAGGTTTGGATTTTCTTAATCCTCTGTATATTTTATTTATTTATTTAGTATGATTCACAAATACCTGTTTCAAATCTTATAATTGTCTGCTCTGTTGGTTTATTTTATTTGTAACTTATGTGATAACAGCCCTTCTTTTGTCTGTCACCGCTCCTTTATTTCTTTGAGCTTTGTTTTCCTTAAAACTTTTAAGGCTGTAAAATATATACAGTAGAGAAGCGGTTATCTGGGACCATCGCTATTCCGGGTAACTGATTTTTCCAGTTTTCTAAATCGCTACAAAACACATTTTTTTTTTTATTGTTTCTCAAACCCAACTAAAAAATTTTTAAAAAAACTTTATTTAGAAATAGTTTTAAAAGAAGAAGAAATTATGACGTCATAACATAAGTTTAAAAATACCTATAGGCTTAGTATAAAATAAAATAAAAAATTGCCTTTTGTTTTTTTAAATTGTTGAGAAAAAAAATCAAACTGAGTTTTGTCCTCTAAAAACCTAATCTTAAACCTTAATTTAGTTTTTATTACTCATTCATAATTCATTTATTATATTTAATTTTGTCATTTTATAATAAAGTATATAACTTCAGTGTTTTTTAATTTGCTACCTTTGCCTAAGTGTTTTTTTTAATTAAATTTAATATTAATTCATGTGTAATACAATTAATATTATATGCCGGTTTAGAATTTAATGTATACCTTAAAAATCTGTTAATTTAAATTTTGTAAACAATAAATCAGTTTTTGTGTTATTATACTTCTTATATACTAGTAGCTAGTTTGGATAGCTTTTGCCTGTGACACTCAACTATCTGAGAAGTAGTGGTGCAGTGCTGACCTTATTCCCACTCTCATGACATTAGTTGTGAAATTGCCTTTGCCCCAGTGATCACCTACTCTAGGCCCACAATGTGGTGTTGAGTAGAATGCTTTACTTTTTTGCTGCATTATTTATGTTCATTTTATCTTCGAATCTACAGTTCGTTTATTTAAAAGCAAAAAATATGTCTGTTTGAAAATTGGAGATAGAGTTGTGTTGTGATTCTGTCATGCAATTGTTTGCTTGACTTGTAATTAAAATTGCACCTTAACTGAATAGTAAAAAGAAAAATTAAGGTAGGTGTAGAAATATGAAGTTTTCTGATTATTTTTAGTAGGGCCTCATTTCTTTTCTTTTTTTCAGGACATGGGTACTGTAGTCTTGGGTAAAGTAGAAGCTGGAAATGCTAAAAGATCTCAGCAGTTGCTTCTTATGCCTAATAGGGTAATTATTTACCTTTTTAATGACTCTTGGATGCTTGTTTTTTAATTCATTTGTTGTTAATTTTTGTTTATTATGTAAAGTGACAGTGTTTAAAAATGCCTTTAAAAAATATATATAACACAGGGTTTCCACAGGTCAGGGAGAACACGGAAAACCTGGAATTGTCAGGGAATTTTATTTTAGCTCTAAAAATCAGAGAAAGTTGCAATTTTTTTACAAAAACCTGGAATATTCCTATGTCATACCTAGAAAATAACCAGTCTTAAAATTGTCAATCACTGTAATCAGTTTTTGAGAGTCAAGTTAAATAATTCTATCCTCAGCGTGTTTAAAAAAAATAATGTGTTAAAAAAATTTGAAAAAACACATTAAACACGCAAAAAATTTCTTGCTGTTTATTATAAATATTATATTTCAATTATTAATTTCACATTTTTTTTTTTTTTTTTTNTTTTTTTTTTTTTTTTTTTTTTTTTTTTTTTTGTAAAATATCTTGCTCTTTTGTATTCATATAATTTTTTATTTAAAATATTTCATTAGAATTGTTAAATATGCCACATATCATACATATTTTACCCCTCCTGTAATCTGAATTCTTTCTGAGGAAACTCCTGAATATTAATTTCTCCAGGTTGGTAGGTCTGGAATCCTGTAAGATAGGGGTGTGCAACCTTTTTGAGTGAAAGCCACTTTCACAGCAGGTAGATTATGAAGGGCCGCACGCATATTTAGTCATGTTATAGGCAAATATGATAATTTTTGTAGAAACATTAGTGTTCTAAGCACTACATATTTTTATCAGTAAACTTAATAACATGTTTGCAGAAAATTAAATACTTTTAATTATATGAATTTATTTAAAACTAAAAAAAACTGATACTTTATTTTGAAACACTTTTTCCATCTTTCACAATTTATCAAATATATATATATAAATTTTAACCAAAAAGAAACTTAAAGAATGCAAGTGCAAAAAATATACGCATTTCATGGAGTAATATGAAATTGAATTAAATATTTTAATTAAAGGAAATTTATTATGTTTAAACAGAAACCACATTGAAAGAAGTATTTTTATTGCATTCAGAAGCTCCCCCGGGCCGCACATCAACCGTCGGCGAGCCGCCGGTTGTGCATCCCTACTGTAAGAGAGTTCTGTTACACTGAAGAATAGATATAATTTTTTTTTTCGTGCTCATTAGAGTGAAGATCTGGAAGTTTTAAGGTTCATGAAACTTTATCTGCCAATCCTTGCTGTGTATAGCCTTTATTGTGTTTACTGTGAATTAAATGCATTTTGATAATGCTTTTTTAATTTTTATCTTAAAGTGCATCTATATTATTTTTAGAAAGCTGTAGAAGTTCTACAATTGTGGTCAGATGAAGATGAAGTTGCATCTGTGATGTCTGGTGAAAATGTTAAAATCAAACTAAAAGGTGTTGAAGAAGAGGTTGGTTCTATATTAACTTATTATTTATAATTTATTTCTCATTATAACGTTCTATTTCTTCTAAAGGAATCATTTTCTGTGTTCAGCTATTCATGAAATTTTTATTATTTTTTTAACAAGGGAAAAATGTTTTTGTGTAACGAAAAAAGAAAGATTTTTGCAATAAAAGTAACAGTGAATCCTAACTAGATACTTCTACTTCAAAATTAAATTTTAAGTTAAATTTGAGGAATTTTTACTAAATTTATTTGTTTTATGTAAACACTTAATTAACTGTAGTCCATAAATATGTTATTAAATTAAATTAAATTTTAAAAAAATTTTCTTTGATCTTTTTTGCTCAACTCCAAAAATGTCATTTTTAAGTGTGCTAGAAATATAGTTACGTAGGAAAGCTATTCCATTTTTCGAAAAATTCCTTATCTCCTACTTAGATGTATATTTTTTTATTAATAATCTGGTAAATATGATCCTCTTATAATTAAACAGTTAAAACTAAAGGCGGAATTCATTTTGTTACTTTTTGTATATTGGACCACTATAAATACTACTATAAGAAGACTTGTATTTTGCCATTTTTATAGTAATGTTATAACAATATTGTTATTTGTTTTTAAAAACAATATTTTATGAAATGTTGAAGTGTTCTCTTTTTTTTTTTTTTTTTTTTTTTTTTTTTTTTTTTTTTTTTTTTTTTTATTATTATTATTATTATTCCTAATTTTGAGTTATTGTATTTTACAGGAAGTATCTTCGGGATTTGTCTTGTGTGATTTTACCAATCCTTGTCGGATAGGAAAAGTTTTTGATGCTCAAGTGAGTTAAAGTTATTTTTTATTCTATTTAAATTTAGTTGGGTTTCCAGATATTGTTTCATATGACTTTCTGTGCATTTAGTAGCAACAAAAAAAAAGTATTATGTATTAAAACTAAAGTCAGTAAAAAGCCCTTGTTTGTTTTCGAAAACTGTTTTGTACTCTATTTATTTAGAAAAATATATCTAGCTAATGTAATTTACATATTATGTACAGTAATGTACATATTTCTTAATATTTTCTTTATTTCCATAGATGTCGCTATCATATGCCTAATTCTTATATAGCGTTAGTCTGGGACTTTTTAATGAAAAATTAGAATGATAGAACTTAAACATTTTCTAATGTTCAATCTAAATCTGTGATAGTTTTTTCCCCTGATGTTTAGAAATGTTTTTAAAAAAATGAAATGTTCACATTGAGAATTTTTTTTAAAATAAAAAACTATGCAGCTAGGACAAAAAAAAAAATCTATAATTTTAGAAAGAACAAACAAGTTATTGATATAATATATGGGTCATTCTCATGGAAAGGTATTTTTTGCAGTTATTGAACAACAAATTTTTGAAAATTCTGTAGAGCATTGCTAGACTGTGTTAGTCATAAAGTAAGTTCAGTCCTGAAATTTTTTTAGAGTGGCACCCATGCATTAGTCAATGTTTTAGCTTATTCTTCCTGTCAAGTAAAAATCTCTTCTCCTTATCACCACAAGCTTAAACCAGAGCTCATTCTAGGCAGGGTTAACAAGGCGCAGCACCCTGTTGCCCTTTTAGCCAAACAGATCCACCCTGTTGCCCCCTGAAGTAAGTTAGTGCCTTGATGTAATAGACTCCATACCCTTTTTGCCCTTTCTTTCTTCAAACTATACAATGGATTTCTTAAGCGTTTGTTATTTTCAATTCTTTTTATTTAGTTTGTCATTGCTGTCAATACATAGATTTATATGGGAGTAAAGGAAAAACTTCCACTATCTTCCAGAGCAGAAAAGTTTAATAGGGGCCTCTCAGTTGTCCAGCAGGAATTCATTAGTGGGGGAGAGGGATAAAGATGCCTTTCTCTAATTCTTGGTATACTCTTCTACCTAAATGAACATAAATCTTTTTTTCTCAAGCAATGTTCTATTGTAAGGGTGGAAGAGTGGTCAGCAGGTGTGGAAGGTCATCCTTTTGGTAAACCAGAACTGTCTTTTGGAAAACTCACAGCTTTAGCAAGCAGCAAGCAATCAAAATTCTTATGACTGTACTTAAACTACCATAAATTAAGGAACACCACTTACAATTCAACTGAACTGAACTGTTTATTTGAGCAGATTTTAAGTTCATGCTTATCTAAAAAATGGTGTTAATGAAATAGATGATTTTTTTTTAATTGGTGTAATGTAATTATTGAAGGAGAACTTTTTATTTTATTTTACAATATGCTTACTACTTACTCTAACCAAAAGCATAAATGGTAGTAAGATGCTTTATTGAATTTTGTATGTTATTTTTCAGTTTATCTTAAAAAAAAATTTAAAAATTTCTATGGTATTGAAAATAGTTTTTTTATAAAAATATTTTTGATAATTTAAATTCTTATTCCTATTACTGGCATAAATAGTTTTCAATTTAATATAATAATAAATAACAAAACAAAAAAAACAGTTTTTTTTTTTTTTTCATTTTGAACTTTACTATAAAATATGTTCATTTTAGCAGATTTTAGGTTTAGGCTTATCTAAAGAAAGGTGGAAATAAAAATAAACCATTAAATCCATGTTTTGATAGTTTCTTAAATTGGTTTGATATAATATTGAAGGAGAACTGAATAAGATGCTTCATATTTGCATTAATATTTAAATACGTATTTTTTTACTCTTTAGGTTGTTATTCTTGAGCATAAATCCATAATTTGTCCAGGTTATAGTGCAGTTTTACATGTTCATGCTGCAATTGAAGAAGTATCAGTGAAAGTAAGTTTTTATCATTTTTTGTTTGGTTTCATCTTTGTCACGACTACAAGCACTTTTTCCCTACTACAGTTTTTTTTTAAAAAATCATGCATGTCTTTACTTATAATATAATTCTTAAATATTATCCAATTACAAACTTGATAAAACTCCATACAAGAGTTAAAGTTAATCTGTGAAGTTAAAGAACTGACATTTTGCTTTATGTTATATGCAGAAAATAAGGGGGGAAATAGCTAGTGCTTCACAATTTTTATTACTTGTTTTTAGTTATATTTCATTATAAAAATTTTTTAAAAAGTTTCTTAGACCTATAAAATAAATATTATGCTAAAAAATTTAGTGGCTTTGTAAACTGTGTGAACACTTCACGTCTTTTTGTTTGTAGCTTTTGTCTGGGTTTCAAAATTTCACCATAAAGGGGCCTTCCTTGGTGCAAAGTTCATCCACCTTTGAGCCACATACAATTAGCTCTTATACACTGGAGATTTGAAAGCCACAAGAGTTCTCGCCTTCAAATAGTTTAACATTCTAATTTGGTGTGTTCTAATGTCCATGTGAGCCTCATAAGTCATTTGAGAGATAAGTTTCCAGTAGAAAAAATTAAGGTGGATCTTTGTAAGATTAAATAGCTCTCTAAATTGCAAACTTGAAAGGACTGTTTGTTTTGGACATTACTAATCTGAAATGACCCCGTAAAAGATGTTTGCTTTCCCAGCAGATAAGGTAAAAGATAGTTATGCGTATTTAAGTGATTTCAGGGATGAGATTCTTCCGCGGATTTCCGCTTTTTCTCAGATTTTTCCATTTTTCCCGCTAATTTCCGCTGAAATTTTTTTTTGCCCAAGTTAAAATGTTTTATGAGGAATTTAATTTTCCGCGGAGGGAAATTGTTGAAGTCCCTTTTCCTCCCTCTGAAGTTTCTCTAAAAATCATTTCCTTGGGATAAAACTGGTTGACCTTTATACAGGGATGAGATTTTTTTTGTCTCTCGAATTTCAGCCTTTTTATCAAAAACTCCGATTCTCTAAAAGTTTCGTTTTTTTAAATAAATATCCCGTTTTTTTTAAAAATTCAGTCATTGAAGTAAAATAATTATATTTATTTACGATTTTCAAAGATAAACAGAAAATTCAATCT